ATTTATTTATTTTATTTTTTATCATCTTTTTTTTTAAAATAATTGATAAATTTTATTTATATTCTTTGAGTTTATGTCTTTAATATTATTTTTTATATAAATTTCTTTTAAAAGAGAGGAGGAGAGGGAAGAAGGAAGAGTAATGTTATAAACATAATCAATATTTATAATTATTTTGATAATATCAATAGATAAAAATAGAAATTAATTAGTTAATTTGATAATGTCTTTTAGAAAAACTTCTTAAAAGCTCTACAAACTTAGAATTTACTTTATATGTATTTGTAGATGATTAGTAGGTTGAAAACTTATTCAACAAGTTGGTCATATATTGTATATATAGGCAACTTGTAGTAAGTGAGAATAAATTTTTTCCTCAACTTAAATTACAAGATGTCATAAATTAAGAATTGCTTGTAATTAGTAGTGTAAAGTAGAAGATAAAATAAATAAAATAAATAAATAATAATACAAATCAAGTGAAATAAGTATAATCAAGCAATTGCATACAATAAAAGTATTGTAAAGTCTATTTTATTCATTGAATTTTTATCTAATAAAAAATAAAAATAAATATTAAAAAACATATTTTTAATGAAATAAGAAATATATAAATCCGAATTATTATGAATAAATTATAATATTTTAAAGATAAAAAGTATAATAATTAAAAAATTAAATAAACATATTTTACTTTAATTATAATTTATTTATAGATCAAGGATTTGAGCCTCACTAAGGCTTACATGTAATATTTATTGATATTCTAAAAAGGCCTTAAGGCCTTGGTCTTATCTTCTTACCTACATCCAAGGTGCTACAATCCATATGTAACTTATACACCTTCCTTTCTACAAGGACTAGATTAACTGCTGGTCCTCCTATTTTTTATTAATAGAATTCATATTTTTATATTTTTGACTTAACCATGATAAGTAAAAAAATTCAAATAGCCAAATGAACTTTTATGGCCTTCAAATCTTGTTCCATTTTTTCATAATGGCTCCAAAGGTGATAAAACTCAATTTTACAAAAGTCTTAAAATCTTTTCTAAAACTTCCTAAAAATATCTAAATAAATTCTAAATATATTCTAAAAAATCACATAATATTTTTACAATATTAATATCTATTTAAATCTATATTTTTATCTTTTTCTTTTTTATAATAAAAATAATAATTTAAATCCACTACAAATCTTATTTTTTATATAATTAATTAGAAAGATATGAAGTTCTTTTTTATACTTCTTTTAACTACTAACTAATCATTGATAGGATTTTTATAAGTAATACATGTAGATAGGAGGCTAATATATAAATTGGTCTTAATAACTAATCAATCATATTTAACAATAAGTAAAAATATTAAATCAATTAAGATAATTACCGCCAAGACTTACTAAGATTCAATTTTTATAACTTTTCTTCTAATAAGACTTTTGTAACTTATAAATATTTATAAATTATAATAAATAATTAAATAGTTAAAAAAACTTTCTAACCTTAATATTTATATAATTAATGATTTAATAACTATGTTTTTAATCAATCCACCAATTAAGATGCATTGGTGGGATTCACATGGTACAAGTTGGCCATATGGTGTATATATAAAAAACTTATCAAACATGTTAAACATGTGTTTTGCAAGTTGAACACATGTTGAAGGTCCTATAAAATATTGCCATATAAATCCTAATTAGTTAGTATTTATGGAACCAAAAATGAGGCCTTTTTCATTCTTATCAATACCTTTCTTATTTATAGTCTTATTTCTAGAATCTCTAGTCTTCTTCTTTTTGGCAATAGCCATTCTAGTTTAATATTATGTTATTTTTAAGTAATTATTTATCTTTTATAGTGATACAAGAATGTGTTGATTCTTTGGTTGCTTGTGATTCATATCCTTGACAATTTTTTACATTCTTTTTATTCAATACAACATTATATTTTGTAAATAGATCTATAAAAATTTAATCAATCTTCTATTAATTAAATTTTATAATTTTTAAATATAATATATTTAAAATTTAATATTTTAATTAATTTTATATAGCATGTAACTTTCATCTAATAGCAAAAAAATAATATTTTTTAAATATATTATATAAAAAGATATGATTAGATTTGGACAAGAAATATAAATGATGATAAAGTATAAGAAATTTTTTTAAACTACCTTTAAAAATCTGAAACAACCCTAAAATATTAACTAATATAATATATTTTTTTTAATAATTTATAAAATTTTACAAAATAAATAAAATATAAAATTCTAATAATTTTTTTCTTATCATTTCAAGACTTTATAGACATGCTTAATAAAAAATTAACTAAATATAGATTTTTATATAAAGGATTTGAATTAAAAAAAACTAAATAAGATATGATCTTGAATTTAAAATATTTTTTGTAAATACAAATTAGAAAGAGATTTAATATTATTAATTAAAAAAATTTGTTAATAATAATTTAATATATTAAATTATTAAAATTTTCTAGCATAAATATAATAAAAATCTATCATTTTGAGAAATAAATTTATAAAATAAAATTTATATTAAAAAAATAATACCATAAAGTGACTTTATAAGAATTTTATTTTTTATTAACAAAATTAATTAATGATATTATTTAGGATAAAAATCATTTATTCAAATATAAATATATTCCAGTATTAATTCTTAGTTATCTTTATAATGTGAAACATCACCAAATAATATATTTTATTTAAATAATTTTTATTATAACTATCTACAAAAAAGTTGCAAAAGATATATATATATATATATATATATATATATATATATATATATATATATATGTATAGATGTATAATTTAAAAGAAGATAAATTTTTTATTTTAAAATACTTCTTAAAAAAATTAATTGTGATTTTTTTTAATTCATACTTATTTTTATAAAAATGACATAAAAGTTTTAAACCTATTCCATTATCACATAAAAAAAATATTAGATTAACTTTAGCTTAGATATATTTTATACTATTATTTTTTACTCTTTAGATTTATTATACTGTTACAAAGAAAAATATAATATAAATATAATATAATCTATAAAATTATACTTATACTAATTAATAAGCTAAACAAATAAATAAGGTTAAAAAATAACAAGAACAAAAAAATGAAAACACTTCTCAGAACCAAAAATTAATATTTGTAATATTATTTGTAAAACTTTCAATATGAATCTATAGGTAACTCACAATGTATGATTACACTTGTAAAAATACAGATAATTTCCATGCTTTAAAGACAGAAAGACAATATCAAAATCCTTAAAATCATTTATAGAGGAGTAGAATACTTTCAATTTAACCTTTTTAAGTTAAAAAATAATACATATATTCATAGATATATATATATATATATATATATATAGCAAAAATTATTTTTAGACAAATATAAAAAAATTAGACAAATAACTATTTCATACATAAAGTACAAAATGAAATTTAGAATAACTATATTACAATAATTTTTTGTACTTATTTTCTTAAGCAGCCAAAAATAGGATTTAATAATATTTTTAATATTTATATATATATCTCATATATCACAAAAATCTTGCAATAAAATATTCTCAAGAATGAAAAAATCAGATATTAAATATCTTTATCAATTATATATTCTATTAATACCCTAATAATTATTTCTATATTTTGGAAATGTAAAAAAATAAAATAGAGATAAAATAAGAATAAAAAATCTATATTTTAATAATTAATATCTATGTTAAAAAAAATGACCATAGAAAGTAGTAAATACAAGAATAATAAGATAATTGATTAGTATTTTCAATATTTAAAACTTTTATCATAATTTGGTTTCTATTAAAAAAATATTTATATGTAATATAGATACAGTACAATGCAAGATCTTTTAATAAAAAATAAATCAAAGAATAAAAAAAAAAAAATTATCAAATCAAAATTGTATTAAAAAAAATCTAAAATATAAATACAAAAAAGAATAAAAATGACATTGCAACTAAATTCAAAATTCACGAGACTATAGAATAGAATAAATATAGAATATATATATATATACATATATCAGATTCCAAAATAAAAATTCTAATTCTTTGACATAATATATATTTATATATATATATATATATATATATATCATATTTAACTACTTTGAAAAAATATAGCTTAATTTTGGAGTAAAAATTCTGTAGTTTTAAAACAAGCTCATAGAAAACTCTTCAAATTCTTTAAAGTAAGAAATGAGATTTTTTGATTCTCGAGTAGATTAATCTTTTAATGTATAATACCCTTAGATTGGTGGATCTTCTAATGGAATAATAATCTTTCAATCCTTTGATAGAGTAATACTCTATTTTAGTTAATTGTACAGTTTGTAATTATTAGAGTTGGTTCAATCTAAAAGTAGTTAAATGTGGCATGTTTTGTCAAAATCATGAATAAATTATCAACTATAAGCAACTTTAGAATTTAATTTTTATATACTATAATTTCTATTCTTGATCTATTTTCATAGATGTTACATTTAACTTTTTTAAGAATCAAACTAGTAATGTAATGCAATAATATAATTTGATTTTAAATAAAAAAGAAATAAAATATATCTATATATATATATATATATATATCATTTTTTTATATTCATTAGATTTAAATATATAAATAATATTATAAAACTAATATAACATATATAATATTATATATATATATATATATATATGTATATAGTTCTATTCAATTTTGAAAAATACTCTACATTTTTAATATTTTTTTATTTTTGATCATTAGAATTTTAATAGAATGTGTTTCAAAGTCAAAATCTAATCTTATGTTATTAATATATCTTCATGTCCAATTACATGATTCCAATCTTTTAATTCCACAAACAATGGATGGATTTACATGCTTGTAATTACACATCTATGTCAGCCAGATGTACATTTGTTATGGAATTAGTATCTGTTATTGTTGATGTATTGCAACTTTGTAACATAAAACTCAAGATCTTCCAATTTATTATTTAAAACAAAACTTCAATACAATCTTGAATGCTTCCTTGATTATTCATTCTGCTTCTAAAGTACATGTCTGTGACCCATTGAAAAATGAAACAACTACTTTACAGGTCATTGAAGACATTGATGTATAACATGTTGCATATATTGGACATGTCTATATATACCACATGTATAACATATGTTGCATATCCCTCCTCAGCATTTCTATATCTATGAGTGTGCGGAGCAGAAATCTCCCTCGCATCTGCAACCACAGATCCAAACACTAACAAAACATTAGTACATGCATTCGAGCTGTGTGGCAACATGCTAGTGCTCCTCCGCCGGGAAGCAGACAGCAGACATTCGGAAGCAGAATAGTGTATGCCCTGGTAGACCATGGTCCTATCGAACTATGATATGCTGTCCATGATAACATCTGATGAGCGAGAGTGAGTCATACCCTCTCATGAGGAAGCTCCTCGTTGGGGAACTCCAGAGGTGTGTCGTTGAAAGTCTGCAACAGGCAGGAGGCGCATCAAAAAAAACGAAGAGAAAAGGCGAGGTTTCAATGGGCATGAACAGGGTCGAAACAAAAGCAATCATGCTCACAGTGCTAATTCTTAACAGCGCAACATCCACAGGACGGAAGAGGTAAGGACGATAAAGGGCCTATGCCACTCACAATTTCTGGATTACCCATGCAAAGAGCCACCTTGGTTAATGAGGAGTTGCAAAAAGAATTCGAGATCACACGAAATGTAAACACAAATAGCTGTTCACTCCAGGCTCACTTAGCAAGTAGCGATGTGTGGTGAGAACTGTGTGGCAGTGATCTTTTATGCTGGTTGAAAGCCAAGTCTACAAACGCCCACAGATGGAGCGTCTGCAAGTTTGCAGACATGATGATGGCGAAGCATCAAACGAAAAACACATTGCCAAATTTAAGCTTGACTTACGTTTCAAGTCTTCACGAAATGCATGGCAGCTCCTATATTAATCATCATTTTAGTGATGCCGCCATTATCATCAATGTAAAAAGCAAAGTCTGTTTTGTTGTGTGAGGCTTGGAGCATCCTCAGCCAGTTTAAACTTAAATAGCTAATGCCAGCCTGGTAAACATGGAGGGCGGTGGAAATCCTCAAGAATATCGATCACAATTTCCTTTTTCTCTATTGGTCCGCCTCAATGTGGGCTGTGCAGACTTTGCACTCTGCCATAACCTCCAGATTTAGATATTTGCGGAATATCAATTACGGTATCCTCCAGATGCACCCCTTACAACGATGCACGAATAGGGCTTTCACTCTAATGGACATTCAAACAGCTTTTCTCAAACCAATATTCATATCATAGGGCGGTGACAGAATGGGAGAAACGGGTCGAGAAAAAAACGGGAAAATTGGCGTTCTAAATGCCATTTTGACCAGTAGAATATTCTAGAAGATGCCCCGTCGTTCAAAACCTTCTTGTTCTCAATGCTGAGCTGCAAATTCACGTTCCAGATTGCTTCAGCTCCGTGTCTGTGTCATTATCCTGCTACGCATCAAGTTTTCACAGCGAACCAACAATACAGGTGCATGAGAAAGTAGACCGGCCTTCCTCGGCACTTCGGGGTCGAAAAACTGTCGTGACCCACAAGCTAAACGATGGTAGGGTCGGATACCTGATTCCCACAGCACATCTCTTCCAAACATCTCCATGTCAATGAAAATCTGGTGCTGGATTTCCAATCGCTGCACACTCTAAGTTGACTTTGAGAGCAACGTTGAGCAATGAATGCGTGGACGAAGCAGTGGGGAGAGTAGTTTCCTCACGCTGAAAAGTGATGGAAGTTGGCGAAGGCCCGCGATTGATCGATCGTCTGCAACTTTGGCAGACAATGTGCAGACGGACCGAGCAGAAAACTTGTAACCCACCCACATGGCCAAAATTGGAGCTTGACACGAGTTTGAAGTCCAAACGTGAGGCGTGGTGTGTCCTGGATTGTGTTGTTGGTGTCTGTCTGCAGCAGACGCCATGACTGTCTTTTTTGAAGCCAGGAGTACGTGAGGCTCCGAGCATTTTCAGCAAGCTAGGTTTCTATAGTTGGTAGGATTCTAAAGGACGATCTCCCTCCTCCTCCAAGGCAAAGCTATGTAGCAATAGAGCCCCCAGTCAAGCCCAGCCTCCTGCTTTGTTTGGCAACAATAGACGGTCTCTCGTGTGGGTAGGCTGCTTTGCATCTGATGGTACTGTCTGAGGTGTATTTGACAACCCTGTGATTATTCATGTTGGTTATTGTTGTCATTTTTGGTATATTTGTTATATTTCCAATATGCAGGATAGATCGCTTTGGTATTCGATTGTTTGCTAGTTTAGGTTTGTTTCTTTTTTCTGTTGAAACTGTTAAGAATGTTTAGAAAGACACAAGAGTAATAGTAAGTAATACACACACATAAGAGTAGTAGTAAGTCATACATACAAGAAGATTTCTAAGGAGAGAGAGCTTCACACATAAAAATCTATTGATCTAGTTGTGTCTTATATACAAGAAGAGAAAGGGGAGAAGATAAACAGTACTTCTTTACTAGACTCTAAATACTATAGCTATGGTATTTACTGTAGTCTACAATAAATATTATGGAAAGCACTAGCTATATTTAATGATCTCAACACTCCTCCTCGCTCATCATAATATTTACATAATATAAAATTTGTATAGAATTATGATCTATACTTTTCTGTGATCTTGCAAGATCAACAATTGTTGCCTCATTAAAACCTTATCTAAGAAAACCTTATTGTATTTAAGGACAAAACCATAGATGAAGGAAAAAGAGTACAACATCATTTTCTTTAATTATTTATAGAGCTCATTAACTTTCTTATTTAAAAAAAGTAAGTCGCCGCATACCAATGCCATAAGTAAGTTGACAATGGTTGTACAATGGGAGAGCTTTGGTGAAGAGATTAATAAGGTTATTTTTAGATTCAATTTTCTTAATTATAAGTGCTTGATCAATAATCAAGTCATGGGTATAACTAAAATACTTTGGATCAATATGCTTTGTCTTATCGTCTTTAATGAAACCAACTTGCATATGTGCAATACAAGCACTATTATCTTCATGTAAGATAGTTGGAGAATCATCATATGAAAATCCATAGGTTTTTTGAATGAATTTATCAATTGATTGCAACCAAATACATTCTCAAGATGCTTCATGTAAGGTAATAATTTCTGCATGGTTGAATAAAATTGCAGTTATTGTTTGTTTCACTGATTTTCATGATATTGCAGCTCCATATCTTAAAAATACATATCCTGTTTGAGATTTAGCTATTGCAATATCAGATTTATATCCTGCATCACAATATCCAACCAATTTTGGATCTGCAAATTGTGTCTAGTATAATCCTAAGTCTTCAGTACCTTTTAAATAATGTAATAAATATTTGATACCATTCCAATGTCGTAGTGTTGGACATGCACTATGTCTTGCAAGAACACTAAGTGCAAATGCAATATCTAGTCTTGTACATATAGCTAAATACAAAGTGCTCCAACCGCTACGAGGTATGGATATTAATCTCCCAATATTTCTTCCTCCTCTTCGCATGGACGGTATGAATCATGACTATCACAACTGCATCCAACTATTGGTGTCGACAATGGATAAGCATCAATCATATTAAATCTTTGCAAGATTCATCTAATACATGTTAGTTGGTAGAGAAAAATGCTACCATTTGTTAGATGCATACTTTGAAGACCAATGCAGAAAGTTATTTTTCCTAGAATTTTCATCTCAAATTCACATATAAGTAGGTTAGTAGCTATAACACATGCAGATGTGGTGCCTACTAGATTAAGATCATCAACATATATAGCAATGATCAAAAAACCAATTTTATCTCATTTGATAAACAAACAAGGGATTAATGGATCACTTACAAAATTATTTGTAATTAAATAATCTCCAAGACATTGATACCACATATGTCCAGATTGTTTTAAACCATATAAGGCCTTACATAATTTAATACCACAATATTATCCTGGAGCGGGTCTATTTGGAGTTCTTGTTTCTAAGCCAAGTAGAACTTTCATATAAATATTTGCATCAAGAGAACCATATGTATATGCAGTTATTACATCCATCAGATGCATCTCAAGGGTGGCATGAGTTGTCATTCCAATAATATATGAAAATGTTATTGAATCCATGACTGGAAAATATGTGGATTCATAATCAATGCCGAATCGTTGAATAAATCCTTGAGCAACAAGATAAGCTTTATAGTGGGTTATTTGACCTTGAGTCTCTCGCTTGCATATTAATACCATCTTATATCCCACAGGGCAAGTTGTAAGAGTGTCTACAATTGGACCAAAGACTTTCCTCTTATACAAAGAGGCATACTCCTCCTCAATAGCAATTTTCCATTTTGACCAATCAGAGCGACACATCGCCTCCTCAATGGTTTGAGGTTCAGGATTGTCTTCCTCGGAAGAAAGAGCCTCTATAATCATATATGCAAATGATTCATCTATCGTAATAGATGGTCTGTCCCAAATATCATCTGTAGCACAATACAAAATAGATAATTCTTTATTCAACTTGTTCTTATTCCTTCCAATTCCAAAATTATTTTTCATAGGAATTGAAGGTACATTATGCATAGATATATCATCATGAATTGGTAGTTCTACAAGATGAGTGGCAATTTCTTGGAAAATAATACCAAGATTAGTCAATTTTATAGTTTTCTTCTTACGTGGTTGCTTATCTGGTCAACGAGTTCTTTTAGTTGTTGTTGTTATAACTTGAGGTACTGTAGTCAATGGCATTGCAATCTGAGCAAGTGCATTTTGAGCCTCATTAATAGGAACTCTTGTAATTCTAGGTGCATCATTGAAGCGATCAGGTATTTCATCTGCGATTCATTTTAGATGAAAAAAATCTTAACAACTTTAGTTTCTGCCAAAGATGTCCTAGGATTGGGATTCATTGTAAATGTTTTTGATACTTCAAATATGAGTACTTTATTTCTTTTTTGATTGGATACCCGTCCTTGAAGACATGGGGATACATTTTCTTCAAAATGGCAATTTTGCAAATATGCACTTAATAATGTGTCAGTTGATGGATCAACAACAAGAATAATGCTTAGTGAATCAAAACCAACATATATGCATTCTTGTCGATGAGCTCCAATGGTAAGCTATTGAGGTTCTAGTAGCTTTATAAATGACTCTATAAATCCATTTTGAGTATTTTCATATAGAATATAATATGTCAATTCAATTCCTGTAGTAGTACAATAGTCTTCAAAAAACTTTGATGCGAATTCTTTTGCATTAACCATATGCAATGTTTTTATAAAATAATCAAAAAAATGTGCCTGAAAATGAATAAGGATAGATATAAGATTGATAAATACCATGTTTCAAGTTGAGAATAATGAAACATGTGATTTTATACATGATGCATCAACAAGGATCAAAAAATAACGAAATGGTTCTAATATTGGATTAATAGGATCACAAATATTACCATGCAATCTTTCAAGCCTTGGTGGTAATTCTTGTGGGAGTTTTCAAATTGAAAGCCGAGTAATCATTTTACCTTGCATACATGCATGACATAATTCCATAGAATCTACATCCGCAGGCTTTAAATTGTGCCCAATTATACATGGAATGATCTTTCTAAATAATATAGATCCTGGATATTCCAATCATCCATGCCAGAGAGAAACGTGACTCTCTATATTAGATGATGCAAAATTAAATATAATGGAAGGCCGAATCATAATTTGATATAAACCATTTTCTTAAGCAAAAGCTTTTTCAACAACTTTATGGTTCTTCGCAAGAACCAAAACCTCTTTTCTATTTAAAATGGCAATCAAGAGGTGATAACCACTAATACACACATCTTGGTAACTGATCAGACTCCGAGGTGCTAGGGGTGCAAATATCGCATATTTACATTTTATGATAGAAATCACAAGTAATTTTACCATCGCTGTGCCCTCTTGGAAACAAAATGAATTTACTCCAGCTATGGTTATCATATTATTAGTTTGTCAAGTTGAAGATTTTTACCTTGGGATGTCCTTAACAACACTTGTACTCTATTGACCATTAGCAACTACTTTAAGAGTTCTTTTCTCAACACTCCCACTTTGCTATTGATCAATTAGCTATCAATCCTAATGCCTTACTCAACTTGTTGTGTCCTTCTCTAACTAAGGCTTTTGTCAACAAATCAGCAAACATGTCTTTGGTTTCACAATACATCATATCAATAACCTCCATCTCTATCTTCTCTCTTATGAAATGATGCTGAATATCAATGTACTTAGTTCTTGCATGATGCTTTGGATTCTTTCCAAAAGCAAGACATCCTTGATTGTCACACCTCAATGGAGTAGCTTCAAATTGCACAAGTCCAATATCTTCCAATAACAACCTCAACCAAAATGCCTCCATTGCTTCATGACTTGCTGCCAAATACTCCGCCCCTATTGTGGACCTTGCAATGTTTGGTTGTCTATTGCTATTCAAAGATATGGCTCCCACTCAAACAAAGAATACATAGCCCATTGTTGACCTTCAATCGTTTGCATCTCTCTTAGTTCTAAGCACCCACTTACATCCAATTGTTGTGGAAAGATGTGGTTCTTTCACCATTCACCTTGTGGTCTTCTCTCACGTGTTGGATATATTCTTTCATGCAAAGAAGATGAGCCTTCTTGTACCTCTTGCTGCCTTGTATGACTCATGGAGTGCTTTCTCTTACTCATTTGTTGGTATTCTTCATCTTCATTCTCTTCATTGTCCTTGTTGTATCTTGCTGGAATTGAAGTCTTCATAGTATTGGGCT